TAATTATTTAATTAATATATATAATTATTTAATTAATTAAATATTTACACTCGGTGGACCCTATAAATAATATTAATTATCTAAATAATATAAAAATACTTGATAATTATTTAATTAATATATATAATTATTTAATTAATTAAATATTTACACTCGGTGGACCCTATAAATAATATTAATTATCTAAATAATATAAAAATACTTGTAATTATGAAATCTACTGAGATAAATCAATAGTAATATATAATTATTTAATTAATATATATAATTATTTAATTAATTAAATATTTACACTCGGTGGACCCTATAAATAATATTAATTATCTAAATAATATAAAAATACTTGTAATTATGAAATCTACTGAGATAAATCAATAGTAATATCCTACATAAGTATTTGTAGAAGTATCTATAGGCGTTCTCTAAAATCTTGATTGTAGAGAATCCGGATCCAATACTTAACCAAGTAAATCTATTTTATACGCATCATTTTTGAAGGTGAAGATAGAGTGCATTTAATACTGTAGATATAGAGATACCCTGTGGTTGAGGTGATATTTGTCGGTTTTTTAAAACTAACAAAATATATATTTTTTACACTTAACATTTGAACGTACGGTCTCGACTTTCTAATATTTTCATTCTAAAGGGGTATTTGTTTGTATGAATATGAAAAAATGATAGTGTGGAAATGACATAATTCAATTACCTTGGCTGTTTATTTTATTGAGAGTAAATGTGAATATGAAAGACAAGAAAAAGGTGTACAGAGATCTAATGTGTATTTCAATCTTCGCCTAAATATGTCAAATTCACACTAAAGAATGGAGAAGTGTGGAACACTCTTAATAAAAATATATATTTCAACATTAATCAACAAACCTATACAGAATTTAATTTAAACTAAGCAAATCACACGATACTGCGATATCATTTTTATTTTTATTTACAGTTTAGACAAATATTATGTATGCAACCAAATACTGTTTTTTACTTGCATGTTGAAAGGAACGCATCTTATCAATTGGAAAGGGAAAATAACTTTCATATTATCACACTTTTAGTTTGTCAAACACCTCTGAGTAGTATCGACGTAGGCATAAAAGAAGAAGGCTATTCCATAACTCCATAGTTAGCCTTTTTCATTGTTATTTCAATTAGAAAAGCAAAACAGAAATTATAGTTTCCAAGAGAAAAGACTTCAAGTGAAAGATTATCAAACATGAAATAAAAAGCAACATATTTTATTAACAATAATTCTATTAAAAAAACAGATGTCTTCTTTAATCTACATTGCTAGTAACTCTCATCACCTCGTATAGGATTAAGGTGTCAAGCACCACGCCTAGAATTCTACAAAATCAGTCAACTTCGAAGATCAGATGACTTTTCTATTTCGTTATGCTCTGCACTTCAATTCTGGCATTTATGATTTATCCTCTCCCTCTCTTGTCTCTACATTGAAAGTGGAGATGCAATTATCGAGCAACACTTGACATAGGAACAAACGTATAAATAGACCATTAAAGATGAACAATGCTAAAAGATGTATAAGTGTTTTTTCAATATTAAAATTAGACCCCTAAATCATTGAAATTATTGTGAAGTCCCCAAGTTCTTATAAATTGTTTCAAAATCAGTCTCTCAAATCATTGACATTGCTACTCTTATAAGGTGTATTTCTTAGCATTTAAGAAAAAAAATCTCTTCACGGTTATTGATAACGTATTTTTAGAACTAGGATTTGATTTTATTGGTCTTAGGTTCAAATCCCACCGTTGGCGAATATTTATTTTCTATCATACGGTTAAAATTCAGCTGTTGTTGATAAGTAAGATTTCTATAAGATGGGAAAAGGAAAAAATAAATTCATTATTTCTTTGAGTAGGAACCGAACTTATGCCCCTTCAAACCAATAGAAAGTCGTAAAATATACTGTATTAGGGATTGGTAATCCCTGTACTATGAAAGTTATGTTTTTCTCCAAAATTGACCAACTTTCTACGATGTGGTTGAAAGTTAGTTGACTTTGCTACATAAATACAAAATAGCTTGATTTTGCTAAATATATATTCAATTTGATCGATTTAAAAATTTCTAAGTCCAAAGTAGGATAAATTGCACTTAAATACCCTATTGTTTTCCGAAAAAGCACTTATATAACCCAAGTTTCAAAACAAAACAAAAAAATACGCTATGTTGATCACCATGTGAATTTACTTAACAACGTTAAATTTAACCCAAAAAGACAAAAATGCCCTTCTTCCTAAATAACTTCCAAACTTTACTATTAAGATCAAGTTTTTTTGAAGGATGTGTTTGTAAAAAGGAGCGGTCTGAATGGTGCAGGATAGCAGGC